TGTAAGGCATTCAGCTTTCCTTGGCTTGTGGCCACATCACTCCAGTCAGCTTTCACTCTCACACCTCGTTGTCTGTCATTAAATCTCCCTCTGTTTCCCTCTAATAAGGAGAGTTATGACGACATTGGGCCCACCTGGATAATGCAGAATAACCTCTCCAACTGGTCATGGATTTAATCACTTCTGCAAAGTGTCTTTTACCTTGGAAGATGACCTATTGGCAGATTATGGGGATTCGGACTGAAGCCTTTGGAGAGGGAGGGGCTCATTACTCTGCCTACCACTCTCATGATCAGAAAATCTCCTCTTTTCCAATTTTGTTTCAATTCTCTTGCCTTCTCCAGAAAGAAAGTCTGAGTCCTTGGCCAGCGTGTTTTGGCACCTCACTAATACTTGCTGACCTCGTGTTCGAGCAGAGTGAGCACACTCAGACCAGAGCCTTCAGCAGACAACTGACGCCTCCTCAGTGTCCTCATCTATGAAATGCGGACAATTATAATCCGGGCCTCCTAGGGTTGCTGTGGGGGCTGAATGAGATCATGCAGGTAAGGTGCTCAGGCTGTGCCCATGACAGTATAAGCACTAAATAAATACTAACTTCTTATTTTATTTATCGCAAGTGATCCTGATGACCGATGATCCATTTCCAGAAGTTATATAGAATCTATATTTAAAACAAGTTTGCTGAGTACAAATCAGAAACAGAGCAAGAAAGCCAATGAGAACTTTTAAGTATGGTGTATCAAAACTTCAGGTACCACACAGAGATGACAAACACCACAAGCAAAGGGAGCCTCAGTTTGTGTGACCGTGACGGTGTCCTGGACACCAGCCCAGAGCTGGAGCCTCAGTTTGTGTGACCGTGGCGGTGTCCTGAACACCAGCCCAGAGCTGGTACTGGGAAGACAGCCTGGTATTTGCTGAATAAACGAAGGAATGAATTACAGCCGTGCATTGTTTCAGAAGCATTTCCTATAGTACCTCATCCAGGCCTTGCAGCAGCTGTTTTCCATAACCACAAACAGACTCCGAGATTAAACAACAAGGCTCTCAGAAAACGTAGCTGGAGGAGTCAGATACTGACTCAGGTCAGTCTGCCTGCTGCTGGGCTGCCTTCTAAGACACATTTTCCCATTTCCAGCCCAGCTCTCACTATTCCCACTGCGGCAGAGGTAAAGTCTTTTTCTCTAAGCAACTGTTTCTCCCGGGAACCTGACGCTGAAATCTCTCACTCTGTCTCCTGTCCTTAAAGGAACCGAAAGAAAACTCTTCGCCTGCCTGCCCTGAAATTTCACCCAAGCCCTGCAATCTACTTACCGCTTTTAAACAGGCGGCCGCCAGAGGGCGGTATTAATCTACATTTCCTCAGACAAGCACCTCAGAAGCCAAAGCAGAGCACCAAGATCACCTTCAGCCTGGCTAATGCCCCAGCCAGAAAGCCCATGCTTAGGATGAAGAAGCCATCCCCCTGTCAGCCCCAAATACCCCAAGACACGGCTCTCGTGAACACTGTTGCCCAGGCAGGACAGACGAGGGCTCATTGCCACTCACAGAGAACCCCTATCATAGAGAGTAGGTAGTACTGCAATAATTTATCCCCATTTTACAGATTAGGAACCTGGTGCAGAGAGTTAAGCTAGAGGCCAGCTAGTCCCTAATACCCTGATTCCCCGCCTCAAAAACCTTTGTACCGTGCTAGACTCCTGGGAATCCTGGAACTTAGAAACTATTTGTGTATTATGTGGAGAGAGGGGAAAGAGTCCATAAACCAAGTCTCTAATCAAATGTGGATTTGGGGGAGGTATGTAGGGTCCAAGAGCTGGGGATGTTGTAGCCCCAGCTGGTGAACCACCAGCATCTCCCATCACCTCGGACTCCCGAGTCCCTAATGAGAGCTAAATGTATTGAGCAGGTGCGATATGTACAGTACCACCTGACAGGAAGTGCCCAGAGCAGTACCCGGAAGTAGTTGGTTTTACCGATAAGAAAACTAAGGCCCAAAACAAATGGTTGCTGTCTAAGGTATAACAGTGCCTAAGGAGTAGAGACAGGATTGAGACCCAGAAAGTTTGGTTCCAGGGCCGGAGCTCCTTGCTCCTGGCACTGCCTGCATGATCCAGTTCCAGCCAAGGTGGAGCGGCAGACAGGCTGGCTCCCACCTGCCTCCTTCATCTCCGTGGCTGGTCATCCTCTTTGTGCCTGCTTCCTCAGAGTTCAACAGGGAAACTGAATCTTACTGCACTGTGGCCCTACATGAATTCATGTTTGTGAAAATGCACACCACCTCCTACCAGACAGGTGAACTGAGATCCGACTTCTAAAAGAGCATTATTCTCCACCCTTGAAAGTCAAGGCCAGAAGTGGCAGTGCTGGTTGATCACAGTCAGGCTGGGGGCCTGTGTACAGTTACCCTTTCTGCAGGACTTGAGTCAGCATTGGCTTCTGGGCCCAGCAATAGCCACAGCTGACTGCTGGGACATGTCCTCGGGGGCATGGCTCCCAGATAGCAAGATTTTCCCGAGGGGAAAGCAAATGGTTGAGCTTTGCTTGGAGGAGGCTATGATGCCAGGCCTCCTGCCCAGAGCCCTCTCCCGTGTCAATATCTGGCCTCAGGTACCCTTGCATTCATCATCATCCTCATGATCTGCAGCTTTCGCAGCCCCTGGGTTCCATGTTTTACATATATTACTTTTTCCTTCCAAATCCATGTGAGACAGATTCTAGTTTCATCCTCACTTTATTGATAAACAAATGAAGGCCTCGTAAGATTAAGAAACTTGGCCAAGATCACACGGCTATCGAAGAGCAAAGCTGGGATTTGAACCCAGTTTTATCCAGTCCTCAGGCCTGTGGGTTTCATGGTTTATTGCTTTGTCCCCAAATGTCCCAATTTGGGGTTCAGAATATACAGAATATATGGTCTTTCGTGTCCAAGAAGTCCTCCCTCTGGACCGTAGTATGCAAACTGCAGCCCAAGCATTCCCTAGGCAGGCTCAGGCCCTCACACACCCAACTCTTATTTTTTATTTATTATTCTATTATTATTTCCCTGACCCTGGGCAGAGTGCATCTTCTCGGGTTTGAATTTTCACTTCTAGAAATTTCAAAAAGTTTAAAATAATTTCATTCACAAAATGACCCTAGTTGTTAGAGACATTTGCTTCTTTTCCCAGAGGCCCCAGGTTGGTCAAGGGTGCTGCAGGACCGTAACTCTCAAACTTCACTGGGGGGTGGGAACAGCTAGCTCCTGTTGTCTACCCCAAGGGCTGGCGCCAGTGTTCCTACAAATCTGGAATGAAGGGTCCTCTGGGGATGCTTTGGACACCCCTGGCCTGAAGGTTTAACCTTGTGACCAAGTGCAGGGAAGCTGTGATCCCCAGCTACTGGGCTCTGGGTGCCAGAGGCTCCCTGTGAATAAGGCCTCTTAAGACAGGCCAGGCTTTCTCTGATCTACTGGGGGAAAGGAACTGGGGCCCAGGTGTAGCTAGGGAGGCTCAGGTGAGCATTCCTCAGAAAATGCCTCTAAAGCAGGAGACGCCAAAGTAGGGCAGAGTGGGTCCTGACCCAGCCATGAACTTGTGTGACTCTGGGCCCTCTCTGATCATCATCTGTAAATGTAGAGTCTGGCTATAGAATCGGTGTCTACACGGAATATTTCTCCCTGTGTTTTGCATTGTAATCCCTGTCACATGCATGAGATTAACTCTCAGGGTAGCAAACGTAGGTGTGCTTGATTGTACACAGCAAACGTATACTGACTATAATCTATAATAACTGATATTTATTGAGTGAGCCTCTATGTGCCATGTGAAATGATTAACACTGGTTACACTGACTACCTCACTGAATGCTCACAGCGACTTCGCGAGTTAAGTACTGGCATCATTCTTGTTTTCACCAGAAAACACTGAGGCTGAGAGAAGCGGGATCACTTGCCAGGGCCTGCAGTTATTTGGCATCAAGGCTGGGATTTGCAGCTGGGTCCTCCTGATCTCAGAGCCTGTTTGCTACGTCTCTGCTATATTATCTCTTTTCAGTCTTTCACATTTAACCCCAAAAGCAAGTCACCTGTGTGCTTGCCTTTCTCTAATCATTTAAATCAGAAACCACAGGAAAGCAGCAACAAAAATTGCATCCAATTCTTCTTCATCCAGAAATAATAATTGGCAGTTTGATATTTATATTCTTAGATTTCATATACAATTATAAATATATATTTGTACTAAAAATACCTCACGGCATTTTGCAGCCTATTTCTCCAAATAATATGAGAACATAAACATCTTTTCATACCATTAGTTATTCTTCCACAATCTATTTTTCATAGTTGCATAATATTATATAATATTACATCATTTACATCAGTTGGATGATACACTGTTTAGCCAATCCCCTACTGTTGGACATTTAGATTAGTTACAATTTGTCACCGCTATAAACAATGCTGTGGTGGGCATCCCTACGGCTAATTCTTTGCTCTGGTTAATTTTGTAAGATACGCTTTGAAAAGTGAAGTTGCTAGCTTAATTGTAAGGCTTTGAGTCTGTACTAAGGGACTCCAATGTGACTGTTGTTTGAAAAGTCAGGGCTCTACCTTCTGCAAGCCAGGCCTCCTCATAGAGAAACTCTACTAAACAAAAACTCTGCCTCTGGCTTGACTGTAAAGTGTGCCTTACTCTCAGCCTTATCTGAACAGCCAGAGCCTTTCGGAGAGTCACACTTCATCACTATTTTATGGTGGGGACAGGTTCCTCTGGGACCTGGAACTCATCCTCTCGACACCAATATGCTGCAAATGAAATGCATTCAGTCTCATTCATGTTTGCCACGTGTATCCCCACATGACCGTGAAGGAGGAGCAGAGAGGGGGAGAATTCCTTGGGGAGCATCCCCTCCAGTTGGGACAGTCAGTGACCTCTTTCTCTTGCCTCAAAGAAACGTAGGGTATGCAGGAAGTGGGAGGAAGCTGGATGGGAAGAAGAAGTAGAAGGAGGCAGGTGGGAGCAAGGTGGTGACCAGAGAGGCTGACCCCAACTTTTCTCCCATGTGCTTGATCACAGAGAGAAGTCTCAGCTGCTACCAGAACCTGGTCAGGGGCCAGTGCCTACCCTCTGAGTAGAGAGACCACCACCCATGGCCCAAGCTGAGGACCTGACCTGGGGCACCAGGAGAGGCTGGGACAAGATGGAGGATGGAGCCCAGATAGGAGAGGAGCTGGCTGAGCCACAGGGAGAAGCCAGCAGGAGCTGCACCTCCTGCTTCTGGAGCCTGAGGGAGAGAGAAAGGACGTGTGGGCCATGGTGAGTTGGGGACTCTCCTCATGCCGTGGTTCCCTCCATGCCAGGGGCCTCTGTGAGCTGAAACATGAAAGGTCTTTGGATCAGAGGGAGCTGGGAGCCTGCTTGCCCTGCAGCTGGAAAGAAACTGAAATTGTTCAAGTTCTCTCACTTTTCCCTGAAGACCGATTCCCATTTTCCCCTTTTGCTCTTAGTTTTTTAAGAGCCTTGCTACTCTGCAGGCACGTTCTCAGGTTCTCTGCCCATCTGCAGCATGTATGCATATGCATGTGTGTGTGTGTGTGTGCGCGCGTGTGTGTGTGTGTTGGGGGGGTAGGGAGCCTATGACCGGTTGCCCCCTTGAACCCCACCAGGGGCCAGTCCAGGCCCCTCTGTGCCCTCTTCTGAGTCTCCAGGGCCGGCTCTTTCCTGGCAACTCCAGAAAGTGCCTCCTCACCTCAAAAGACCAAGAAACAAGGCTTCTGATAAAGTGTCCCACCCAGTCCAGGCTGGGGCAGTTGGTCTGAGAATGAGCGGTCATTGAGGGGAGGAGAAGGGAGAATAAAGGGGATGGGAAGAGAGGCTCAGAGAAAACGAGAGGTAGAGAGAAAGGGACAGAGTGGAAGAGAAGGAGGAAGGGGAGAAGCTGGGGAGATAATGAGGATGGAAGCGAGAGACAGAAGTGGAAAGAACTGGAAGCCTAGAGACAGAGCAGGAGAGAGAGAAAGAGAGAACAGGAATGAGCAGCTGTGATGTGGCCAGAGCAGTTCATAGAAAAGAAACTCAGTTCAGAGCAGAAGGGAGGAAAGAAAATAAGAAAGAAACAGAATGAGACGCAAAGAGGAGAGGAGGGAGAGAGAAGGAAAGCGAGGAGGGTCAAAAATGTGAGGAAAGAGAAGGACAGAAAAAAAAATGAGATGAAGCAAGACAGAATAAAGGAGGGAAAAAAAAGGGGGAATCAGGAGGATGGTGAGAAAAGACAGGAGGGAAAGCCTGGAGAGAGGATAGAGGGGCGTCCTTGCTGAGCTGCATGTCAGCTCTGGTAAGCCGTCTAGCATGTCATTAGTGGGGATCTAAGGCGCCAGCGGGAAAGTCCCCTCCCAGTGGGCTGGAGGCTGACGGAGGGCGGGCCCTGGGCTGGGATCCGCAGGCAGGTGGCCGCCCCTGGGTGGGGCCGGCCAGCCAAGCCCTCGGGGTATAAGTGGGAGGCCGGGCCTGCTGAGCACCTGTCGGGGGCAGCTCCTGGGTGCAGGTGCCAGGTAGGTGGCTCCGGCCAGCCCAGCCCCAGCATGAGCTCCTTCGACCTGCCGGCGCCCTCCCCACCTCGCTGCAGCCCCCAGTTCCCCAGCATCGGCCAGGAGCCCCCCGAGATGAACCTCTACTATGAGAACTTCTTCCACCCACAGGGCGTGCCCAGTCCTCAGCGGCCCTCCTTCGAGGGGGGCGGCGAGTATGGGGCCACCCCCAACCCCTACCTCTGGTTCAACGGGCCCACCATGACCCCGCCACCCTACCTGCCCGGCCCCAACGCCAGCCCCTTCCTGCCCCAGGCCTATGGCGTGCAGAGGTCGCTGCTGCCCAGTGTGTCGGGGCTTGGGGGAAGCGACCTGGGCTGGCTGCCCATCCCTTCGCAGGAGGAACTGATGAAGCTGGTGCGGCCCCCCTACTCCTACTCGGCTCTCATCGCCATGGCCATTCATGGGGCACCCGACAAGCGCCTCACCCTCAGCCAGATCTACCAGTACGTGGCCGACAACTTCCCCTTCTACAACAAGAGCAAGGCCGGCTGGCAGAACTCCATCCGCCACAACCTGTCGCTCAACGACTGCTTCAAGAAGGTGCCCCGGGATGATGACGACCCGGGTAAGGAGGCTTTGAGTGTGGGGGGTGTCCCCAAGGAAGGCTCACTTCCTTCCTTCCCAAGACCCCATTCTAGAAAGTTCTGACAAGGGCTGTGCCCCCCCCCCCCCAGAGACTGGGGGATGCTACCAGGCAGGGCAGAGGGGAGCTCAGCAGTGGAGGAGAACATGGGCCTGGGGGAAGATTGGGTTTTCAGTCCTGGCTGTGGACCTGCCCAGTCAGTGACCTCCAGCAGGTTAGACCTCAGAGCCTCCGTTCCCTCATCGGAAAACCAGGGATAGTGATGGCATCTGCTTTGCAGGCTACGGTGGAGATGATGAGATAATGTACACAAGGTCTTTGGTGTTATCAAGCACTTAATCGCCAGCAGGAATTACGATCATCTGCATCTCCAGCACCCAGCACATAAAAAGTCTTTGGTGAATGAATGACTGGACCAAGTAAAGCCCAAGGGCATCCCAAGACTGCCGAGAAGAGGATCTGACCTGGGTTAAACAGCCACTATTGGCCCATTTTGCTACCTGCCCTATTTCTACTTATATAACCTCCTTTAACCCCATGACACCCCTGCAGGGTAGCTCTTATTAAACCCATTCTACAGATTAGGAAAATAACACTCAGAGGTGACACAGAATGAAGTGATATGATGGAGCTTGAATTTAAACTCAGTTTTCTCTAACATCAGAAACTGAGCTTTTCCTTTCCAATGATGCATTTCTAAAACTCAGAGACCTACAGAGAGGCGTGTACTAAATAGTCATGCATCCATTTCCCAGAATTAAAGTCCATTTTTGTTCCACCGCAGGAAGCCATGGTATAGCTCAGAGGAACCCCAACTCTGCCCCATTTGAGGTTGGCAAGCGCCAGGCCTGTTTGTCCCCAGAAGAGGGCAAGTGTTCTGTCCAAGGACTGCTGTCACCCTCAGGCTGAGAGACGGTAGCAGGAAGAGTTCAGGCCTTCCCTCGAGATGGTACCTCCCAGCTGCAAAGCCCCTTTCCATATCCAGTGTCGATCGTTCTCAGTGAGCCTGAGGAAGACAGGGGCAATGGGCCCACTTTTCAGACTAGGAAACTGAGGTTCTCCCAAAGCCTCTCAGTCAGTGAGGAGCAAAGCCAGGACTCAAGTCTGTCTTCAGACTCCAAGCCTAGGACTATTAGGGAGTCCCAGAGTTTTTCCTGAGTCTTCTTTTCCTTCAGCATTGAAAGCCCTCCATCCTGCATCCCCCAGCCTCTCAGCATCCCTGCCCCCAGTACTTCATCCTTCTTAAAGAGACCTACATTGCAAACTCCTTAATGCCTGTTCCTTTCGGCTGCAGTCCCAGAGGGCCCCGTCATGGGCTGCTTAATGAAAGATGGAGGTGGTGTGGTCCATCAGTTGATGGAATTCCTTCATTCCTCAGTCCGTGCCTTTGGGTCTCTGTCTTCCTGTATCTGTCACCTTGTCTTTTAGTTTATGACAATAAGAAGGAACAGAAGCAAAGCGTTTTGTCCACCTCTCTACTTACCCCCTTTCACTTTTGTATCAGGCAAAGGGAATTACTGGACCCTGGACCCCAACTGCGAGAAGATGTTCGACAATGGAAATTTCCGCAGGAAAAGGAAGAGAAAATCAGATGTTTCCTCCAGCACAGCCACCTTGGCCTTAGAGAAGACAGAGAGCAGTCTCCTGGCAGGCAGCCCCAAGACCACGGAGCCTCAGGACATCTTGGATGGAGCCTCACCAGGGGGCACCACCAGCTCCCCAGAGAAGCAGCCCTCCCCTCCCCCATCGGGCACCCCTTGCCTTCACAGCTTCCTCTCCTCTATGACAGCCTATGTGAGCGGGGGGAGCCCCACGAGCCGCCCCTTGGCCACACAAGGACTGAGCCCTGAGCCCAGTGACAAGACGGGGCAGGACTCACTGAGCTTCAACTCCTTCTCTCCGCTCACCAACCTCAACAGCCACGGCGGTGGGGGTGACTGGGCAAACTCCATGCCTACCAACACGCTCAGCTACGGAGGATCTGTGCTCGGCCAGTTCAGCCCTCACTTCTACAACAGTGTCAACACCAATGGTGTCCTCTACCCCAGGGAGGGCACTGAGGTCTAGGTACAGAACAGCTCCTGAGCCAGATGGACATGCCAGAAAGAAAAGCAGTGGAGGTCCTCCATGCCAGCCCCATGGTGGTCCATGACTGTGCAACTGCCCAGACATAAGCAGGAGCCTCCGAGGAATCCACCCTCTTTCTAGAACACTGGTTAAGGCTTCTGTTTATCACACATAGGCCCACACACAGAATCACCAACTTTGCAATGGAAATACTGGTGCCTGCAGAGCAGCAATAACAGTGGCAGGTGCTGTACTAGGCTCTGTACTGGCCACACTTACTACTGACAGTCACCCTGTAAGGTTCACAAACCTTCCCATTGAACAGATGAGGAAACTGAGGCTCAAGGAGGTTAAGTAACGTTTCCAGGGTTATATAAACTAGTAAATGGCAGAGCTAAGAGTCAAATCCAGTTCTATGTGATCCTCAGAGATTGGAGGCTGGGATAGAGAACTGGTTGAGTAGCCAAGGAAGGTCAGTGTGAAAAGCTTGCTATGGCAAATAGAGCAAAATCTCTCCACTGCTTTCTGTCCATCAACATTTAGTGTCAGCCCCGGCACATCTTGTCCTGGTCCAAGACCTTATTCTGCTTGCCCCAACTTCCCTGCAGACACTCCTTTTGCTACCACTCAAGGAAGGAAGTCACCAGTGGCCTTAGTGCAGGAAACTCAGCCCTGGTGGCCCTGAAGAACAATGCATCTTACATGTGCAGTGCATCCCCATGGAAAGGCACCATTGCTCCCTAGCTCCCCAGAAACCTTGAGCAGATCCAGGGGTCAGTGAGAGAAGTGGTGTGTACCCCTAAATCCTCCCACCCCAGCAGTGCCCATCTGTAAAATCTTGTAAAGCCCAGTTTCCTGTGTGCATGTCATGGGCCAGTGAGCTGGAGATGGCTGAGTCTTCCAAGAGAAACAAGGCTGGATAAGCGCTTCTTTTTTTTTTTTTTTTTTTTTTTTTTTTAGCCCAGCAGAGGTGGATGTTTGTCTGAGAAAACAATGGCCTTAAGGGAGGGACTGGGGCCCACCCTCAAAGGGGTCTCTGCGTGATCTCCTGGGATTTCTCCTTGTTTTTGTGAGTACTTTTTATGCTGGTGATGTTTCATCACAGAACACCCTGGGAAGTGTTGTTTGTTTTATTTTCTTTTTAATTAAAAAAAAAATGTGGTGCAGAAGCGTGGGCCTTCTTTATGAGATTTCCTGTCTCTCAGCTGCCTGGTGTGTTCAACAGGGGGCCAACTGCTGCCTGGAGCTGAAGGCATTTGGGACAGGAGACAGAGAAAGAATGCGTATCAAGACTCAAGACTCTTTTCACCTCTGCATTGGTGTGGAGCCCAGACAAAAGCCCCCAAGGAAAAGAAGGGAGTCTGGGAAGGGAGGATAGGGTCATGGAAGGAATGCATTAGTACCGTATCCCAGTCTTTACAGTTCATGCAAACCTCTTAACTGTGCTATGATCATTTAATTCTAACAACCCCGCGAAGAGGGGGGTAGTAGTCTCATTATACAGATGAGAAAACTGAGGGTCCGAGTGGTTGAGAGATCCGTGTGAAGTCCGCATCCAGTCCACACCTAGGTCTGTCTGACCCTGCACCTCATCATGCTTCAGGATGGTCTCAGATGTGACCAATGCTAGAGTCTGTAACAACAGTACTATGGGCTGCAATTCACTGAGGGCTGTGGGCAGTTCCTGGGTCAAGTGCTGTGTAGGTGGGACCTTTTTTATCCTTACAGCAGCCCATAAGTGTGTACGCTGGTGATCCCCTGGGGTCCCTGACACAATGCCTGCTGCAGGACTTGTGCATTGAAGCTGGATTTTTTGTTAGGAGTTCTCTGTTTAGGTGTGCACAGAGAGGGCTTAAACCAGGAATAGCTGGCCATTCACATCGCTGCCTACTCAAACCCTGGGGCCTCTCTTTCCTTGGAGTGACAGAGGGGAGCTGGTAGATAACAACAACAATGACAAGGATGATTGATGATGATGATGATGGCGATGATGATGATAAGAGCGTTCATCATGGGTTGACCATGTACAAGGCACTGCATTAGGACTTGACCTGCTTTGTTGTATTTAATCCTCAGAATAATCCAGTGCACTCAATACCATTATTTTCATAGGTATTATTATTACCATTATTGTATATGTAAGAAAACTGAGACCCAGGGAGATTGATACCTTGATAGAAAGCAGCCACAGTCAGGACTCAAGCAGATCCATTGATGCCTTGGCTAAAGTGCTTCTCCACAGAATCTAGCAATGGGGAGCCCAGGACTTACCACAGGACAGCAAAATCATGACAACCAAGAGAAAAAGAAGCAGGGTTGCCTGAGAACCCCTCAGGCCCTTTCCCTGGGAGTCCTTTTCCACAGGGAGACTTCTGGCAGATTCCATGTGGCCTACGAAAGTAAAAGGATGGGACATGGTGTCAGACTGTCAGACTGTTAGAAAACCCAAGATAGGCCTGCCCCTTTCTGCAGAGAAAGGAAGCCTACAGCTCGGAGGGAAGGCACTCCACAAATGTCACCAGGACAGCGAGGTCAGAGTCAGAATTAAAATGCAAGTCCCTGAAGCCCAGACTAGGATTCTTTATCACACTAGATCCCTCTGTCACCAAATTTGTCCAAACAGACCACCCTCTCCATTGATCATCTCACTGCCTGCTCTTCAGCTCCTACTCCTTCCCCCAGGCGGGTCTGCAATGGGCGAGGGCCTGGGCCAGAAACCAGGTGTGAAGGGGCCCAGGGAGAGCCCAAGCCAACCCAGAAGGGAGCCGGCCAAGGGAACCAAGGCCCACAACCTCAAGTCTCCAGTCTTCTTCAGCACAAAATTCAATGATGGGCACAAGCAGAAAGGAGAAAGTGTTTAGGGCTCTGACAACACAAAGACCCTGCCAACTCTTGCCTGTGGCCCTGCAAGGAGTTCCTGGTAGCAGCACCAGGAGCTCATGGGAAGCGTGACTCTGCAAGCACCCAGAAGGGCACAGCTGAGGGGAGTCGCAGGCCAAGAAGGGGGTCTACCAGTAGCTTCCATGGTGGCTGCCTGCCCCTCCTTTGGTTCTCTTCCTCTGAGAAGAGAGAGGGAGGGAGGCAGGGAGGGAGGAAAAGGTAGGATAGAGGAAGGGAGGGGTAAAGGACTGGTTATTTACCAAGCACTTAATCGTGTGTGCAGTGCTGTGCATGGACACTTGCATGATTAGCCTCCTACTCTTTGGCTCCATGTTGAAGCCATGGTGTCCAGCATCCATAAAGGGTCTGAGAAAAGGGTCACCTGGAAGGCTGCCTGGAGGAGATGCGACTGGAGCTGAAGGATGGTGAAAGTGAGCTGACTCAAACCACTAATTTACCCTCACCCTCCAACAGCCAAACTCGAATCCTCCCCAAACCCTGAGTTAGCGTGCCTCCATTTCCAAGTGACGTGGAGGTTGGGGGAAGTAGGCCTCAAAGCAGAATATATATGTATAATATATGTACATTTCATAATCCCATTTATTTTAGTAGGCAAAGTTGCAAGAGGAGAAGTTGGGAAATACTATACATAAAATACTAGCAGTCATTGTCTGGTGGCTAATAAAATATTAGGTGTGGCTTTTGGTCATTGTGTTTATCTCTTGTGTACAGTGGACATATTGTCATCCCAGGCCACCACAGCTAGATACCACTGCTTCCAATGACAGGGGTGCAAGAGACCTGCCATATTGTCCCATGGTCCCCCCGCCAGCACAGATGACTGATCCTGAGGGACACCTGACCCAAGCTGAGGTCTTTCTGCTGTGGCTGAGGAATGAGTCCCCTTAGCACAGACATGGCTCTTAGGCAGCCACCATTGAAAGAAAGGGGAATCAATGTGAGATCAACGACTTATCTAAAATGTGAGATTCAAGGCTGGGTGCGGTGGCTCCCACCTATAATCCCAGCACTTTGGGAGACTAAGGCAGGAGGATCATTTGAGTCCAGGAGTTTGAGACCAGCCTGGGCAACACAATGAAATCCCATCTCTACAAAGTATTTTAAAAAATAGCCAGGTGTGGTGGTGTGTGCCCGTAGCCTCAGCTACTCAGGAGGCTGAGGTGGGAGGATCACCTGAGCCCAGGAGACAGAGGTTGCAGTGAGCTGAGATCATGCCACTTCACTCCAGCCTGGGCAACAGAGTGAGACTCTGTCTCAAAAAAACAAAATAAAATAAATCGTGAGAGTCAGAAAAACAAATGCTCAGACTTACTGAAAAGCTAATGCCAAGCTGGTGAGAGTGCTGTGGGAGTTAGAAGGTGGCAGAAGCTCTCCTCGGAGTTCCTGGAGGGTCCAGCAGAGATCAAGGCACAAGACTGGAAAGGAAGGGGAGTTTGAGGAGAGAGCGGAGGGGTCGCAGGGAAGTAGCCAGCATTTATGAGCCCCTGCCATGCACTAGGCCCGGGGGACTCATGGAACATGCAGTTATCTCCTGTCATCTTCACAATGCCCTGGGCCTGGGGGAGCATTTTAACCATTTGACCTATGCAGAAACTGGGACACCCAGGGTTTACGCAGCCTCTCAAGATCTCAGACCATAGTCTACACGCTTTAAATGTTAGGCTCCCCCACACCCCTGTAAATGGGCACTGTGAGGCCTGCCATCAAGTGAACCATCAGTCTCCTCGCTAGAGAGAGCATAGGGACATAGCATCTGTATCAGGAAAGTCACGTCGGCCAGCACATCACAGCAGGCCCAAGTTTGTCTCTGTGGGAGGCTCAACCCCCTGCCCTAGACACGGACTTCATGCCTGCCCCCTGCTTTCCTTCAGCCCAGAAGGAGAGAGACCTGGGCTGCTTTTTCTGCTGACCTGCCCTTTGATATTCTCCTTAGAAGCTGCTGTGAAAACACAATGAAATTGGCCTTTGTCTCTGACTTTCTCTATTCAGTGCTTCTTTGAGGTTCTTGTGGGGCAGAAATATTGCAATGCTGCAGGCACCATTTGCTTCCTTTTACTTGTGGGCCCCCACATGACCCATTGGACATATGCTCCTCCCTTGCAGAAGTCTCTGGAATCTCAAGCAGAAGGCCAAAAATGCAGGGTGTGTCCTGGAGGTGGTATAAGTATTTGGGGGAACTCTCCTGCTTTCTTTCAGTTCAGGCAGATGAGGTAACAGCAACATTTAACATTTGTTGCATGTTTAGGACGAACTATGTACTTTTTTTTTTTTTTTTTTTTTGAGACGAGGTCTCGCTCTGTCACCCAGGCTGGACTGCAGTGGTGTGATCTCGGCTCACTGCAACCTCCGCCTCCCGGGTTCAAGTGATTCTCCTGCCTCAGCCTCCCAAGTAACTGGGACTAGAGGCGCCCGCCACCATGCCTGGCTAATTTTTGTATTTTTAGTAGACATGGGGTTTTGCCATGTTGGCCAGGCTGGTCTCAAACTCCTGACCTCAGGTGATCTACCCACCTCGGCCTCCCAGAGTGTTGGGATTACAGGTGTGAGCCACTGCGCCAGGCCTATGTACTTCCTATAGATTGCTTAACAATCTCAATGCCACTGAAGCTGACACTATCATTATTTGTATTTGGTATGGAAGTAAACCAGTATTCAGAGACATTGAGTAACTTTTCCACTGGGGCAGGAACTATAAAAGAATAATGCACAGAGTCGACTACATACAAATGAGTTGTTTCTGTACGGCAAAATCTCCATCAACAGAGTAGGAAAGTAAACACAAAGGGAGAGAAGTGTTACACTATACATGTCAAAAATTTAATAACTGTATTATAGGGAGATCTCTGGCAAATTAGTAAGATAAAGACTTTCCCAGCAGAAAATGGGCAAATCTATTTTCACCAACAAAGAAATGCAAATAGATAATAGACACATGAAAAGAAGCCTAGTCTCACAAATGATCGAAGAAAAAAGACCACAGTGATATTATATCCTTCCCACTGACACATTAGCAAAGCCT